TAATCGTGTCATTTGTGGGCACAGTTTCATTTCTCCCTTCCCAACCTATATGCCTTTTCTTGCTTTTTCTGGCCATTCTGCACTAGCGAAGACTTCCAGTCTGATGTGGCAAAGGAGCGGTGGTGGCCGCAAGGAAGTGTCCGGTTTCTCCTCAGTAAGAGGGATGTTGCTGCAGGGGTTTTATACATGGTGTTTATCAAGTTGAAGAAGTTCCCCCTTCTTCTTAGTTGGTGGGTGTTTTTTATCTGAACTTTGGATTTTGTTGAATTATGTCAAATTGATATAACTGACATGATTGATTGATATGATCACATCATGTGATCAATTGTTAGCTATTGATATGGTCACGTGACTTTGTTTAGCTTGTGAATCAGACTGCGTTCAGAGACTTTTGAGCGGCAACGAGAGGCGTAGCAGGTCACCGTGGCTGCTCTGAGGAGCAGAGGTGGGGGTGGCTGGGAGTGGGGACGCAGGAGAGGCTTTGGGGGATCAACCGCGAAACACCTGGGGGGCTCCTGGGGAGCAACCACGAAGACGTGAGCAGGCGGCGGGGGCGGGAGGGGTCGCAGGTGGAATACCGGGGTGGTATTTTTCCAGAGCGGTGGGGGGTGGGGTGTGCAGGGTCCCAGATCTGACTCTGCAGCCGGGCCGGGGGTGCTCCCAGTGGACCCCAGGGCAGGCCTGAATGCTGGCTGGGATGGGCGTGGGGACCGGTGACGCCCGCGGGAGCCGTCACCGCGCCGTGGGTGTGGAGCGCGCACAGGGCAGCAGAGCCGACCGAAGGTGACAAAGGGGAGGCTGACTTTGTCGTCAACTCTTTTGGGAAGTTTGGCCGTGAAAAAGGTTAAAGAAACGGGGCTGGAAGAAACGAGGTGCGTTCTGGGAAGATCTTGTTGTCAGGCCCAAAAGCCCAGAGCAGGCTTGACGGCTGGTGGGGACTTGGAAGGAGAGAGAACAGCAGGTTCACGTGCAGCCTCACCCACGACATCACCCAGCATGGAGTCACCTCTTCTGCTCCGCTCACTTGTTAAAATACTTTGTATTTTAGAGCAGTTCTTGGTTCGCAGCAAAATTGAGAGGAAGGCACGGAGATTTCCCATATTCCCCTGCCCCCACCCAAAACCCACAGCCTTCCCATTGTCAACACCCCCAGCAGACGGGACATTTGTCACAACTGATGAAACCACTCCCATGTTGTCACCAGAGTCCACTGTTGACATCAGGGTCACTCTGGGTGTTGTGCAGCGGGTTTGGACAAATGTACGGTGACATGTGTCCATCCTTACAGCACCGTACACAGTAGAGCCACGGCCCTTGACCCTCCGGGGCCCCCGTCCATCCCTCCCCGCACCCTGATCTGTCCCTGTCTCTATCACTTTGTCTTTTCCAGAATGTCACAGAGTTGGCATCACAGGGTGCAGGCTTTTCAGACCAGCTTCGTTCACTTAATAACGCACATTTAAGGTGCCTCCACACCTTCCCATGACTGGAGAGCTCCTTTCCTCACAGCTGAACAACATCCCATGTCTGGTTTCCCCACAGTCGGCCCCTGGCCCAGTGAAGGACATGTCTCGTTTGCTCCCGGGTTTGGGCAATTGTGAAGAAAGCTGTTGTTAAACAACGTGTGCAGATTTTTCTGTGCACATAAGTTTTCACCTCATTTTGGTAAATACCAAGGAGTATAATCGCAGGTTACATGGTAAGAGCCTGTTTAGTTTTACAGGAAACCCTCCAGCCTTGGCTAGTGTGGCTCCGTGGATTAAGTGCTGGCCTGTGAACTGAAAGGTCCCCGCGCGCTTGCCAGGCAGGCCTGGGTTGCAGGCCAGGTCCACAGCGAAGGGTGCACAAAAGGCAACCAACGGACATTTCTCTTGCATGTTGATGTTTCTCTCCTTTTCTCCCTCCCTTCCCCTCTCTCTAAAAATGGATAAAATGTTGAAAAAAGAAAAAACGAAAAGAAACCACCCCACCGTCTTCCTAAGTGGCTGCCCATCTGCATCCCCACCAGCAGGGAGCAAGGTGCCTGCGGCTCCACGCCCTCCTAGCGTTGGGCATTGTCCGCGCTCTGGATTTTGGTCGTCCCAGTAGGTCTGTAGGGGTCTCGTTGGGTTTAATCTGCATTCGCCTGATGACAGGACGTGGAGCACCCTGTCATGTGCCTGTTCACCATCTGTACATCCTCTTCGTGTGTTAGGCGTTCGGCCCATTTTTTAATCATGTCATTTGTGTTCCATTACTCATTTCTCAATCTCAAGTTGATCAGGCACTTCGGCACATAAATGGGCTGTGTGTGTTCTGCTTTTTGGTTTGTGTTCTTTATTTTTTATTTTTAAGACCCTCTGTTGGCCACATGAGCATGTGTAGCGTGGGTTGTCCTTAAAAACCCTCCAGCCACTGCCCCATGCCCCTGGCCCCAACAGAGCGTGACCGACCTTCCCTGTCCTAGTGCCCCCCCGCCGCCCCCACCCTGTGGTTCTGCTGGACGCCCACCAAGACGAGGCCTCCCGGGCCGACGAAATCACTGGAATCGGGCCGCTAACAACCTGCACTTGGCAAATCCGGTGTCTGTGACCTTAACCCCTCACCTTAACCCCTCACCACCCCTCGAGACAGACGGGGACTTCGAGGACTTGGCTTCAGGACAGCTCCCTGCCCACTCACCCCCTCATTGCTGCAGCTGGGACCTCCTCGCCTCCCCTTCCCGAAAGCCAGAGCACCTCAGAGCTCAGTCCTCGGGCCCCTTCTCTGTCCACGCGCAGCCCTTCTGGCTCGAAAGGCCACCTCAGTGCAGACAAGCTCAGTTCTCTCTATTCTGGGCCTTTCTCCCGAACCCCAGAATAGGATTCAACTGCTTCGGTGAGGTCTCACGGGACCTCACAGGTAGCACAGCTAACACAGCACACCTCCCCGGTGATGACCCCCCCACCCCCCACCCCGGCTCTGCTATCCCCGGTGAGACACCAGCCCACAAGCCCAGGGCCGCTGCACAGGACTCCTCTGCCGCAGCCCATGCTTGGTCAATCCGGAATCTCTTCTGCTTCCTCTTCAAACACAAACAGAGTCCAGCCACCGCTTCCCGCAGCTGCCCACCAAGGTCCTTCTACCGGCAGCGGACCCAGCGGGTCTCCACGCGTCCACCACCAGAACCTGCTCTCGGCCGGGTGGCGCCTTTCAGACGGCAGGAAGTTCCGCTTACTTCAAAGCCAGCCCGACTCCCATCTCGCCCACTGGAAAACATAAAGCTGACCACTGCCCCAGGGACCGGCCCCCACACTCAGGTCTGCTTCCGGCCTGACTGCGTCTGTCACTGTCCCCTTGCCCGTCACTGTGCTGCACTCCCACTGGCCCCGACGCTGCTCCCCGGACACCACCCGCCAGGGGTCTGGGGATACTGGCTGTCCCCTGCTTGCAGCCTGGCTCGGAGTCCCCTCTCTAAGGCTTCCTGGCCACCCCATCGCACCACCTGGGCCCCCGTTCCCCCAAGCTCCCATCTCCCTGCGACATGCCGTCCACCACACCGCGTATGGCCACCCCGCGCGCGCGGAGGCCCCCAGCATTCCAACACAGGCGCTCCAAACGCGCTTCCCAAGACGTGGGCCCGGGGGACGGGGCAATCGGGAGCCCCGGCCAGAGAGGGCGGCGGGGCGGCAGGGCGGCCGGAGCGCAGGCGGCGCGCCCGCGGGACGACGACCTGGCGCGGACGCCCGCTCCTGCCGGTCCCCTTTGCCCCACGGCCCGCGCAGCCTTCGGGCGCACGGCCGGGTCGACGCCGAGCAGACCCCGCCCATGGCCCCCGCCCCACTCGCCTACCCGGCGCCCCGCTGATGACCCCCTCGGATGACCCCTCTTGTCCCTGACCCCCCCGTAGCCCCGCGGCAGCCCACCGGGGCTTCAGGCACTTCCCTCTGAGCACGCGCGGAGCAAACACGCCCGAAGGCCACGCCCACAGGCCCCGCCAGAGCCAATCCGAAACCGGAGCGCTGCTGATGGGCATCAGCGGCAGAGACCCTGGATCCGGATTGGGCACGTCTGCTGGGCGGGCCTACAGGGGCGGTTGCGGAAGCGGCGCGCGGAACTCGGCCCCGGCTGGGGTCGGGGGTCGTGGCGCCCGCATGGCCGCGGCGCGGAGACACGGTAGGCGGGACGGGGCCGCGGGCGGCTCGGGGTGGCGCGGGAGACCGGGAGGCCGCCCGCTCGGACACAGCTCTCGGCGCAAGTCCCCGCCGGGACCCCCGGCCGCGGGCAGAGCGAAGGCGCCTCTGGTCGCTCGGTACGTCCGGGGCCCGGAGGCCGCGCCCGGGGTGTCTGGGGGGCTTGGGCGGGGGCTCAGGACGGTGGGACCCCCGGCCCGACGAGCCGCTTCGGAGGAAATGCGGGGTGTGCAGACGCTGCCGACGGCCGTGCGGGGACCTGCAGCGGGTGACTGACGACTCGCCTGCTCACCTCAAACGGAGCCGCCGCTGGCTGCGCCTCGGCGTCTCCTCGGCGCCCTGGCGCCGGTGCTGTTGACCGGCAGCTTTGTCCATCGCGGGGCGCTCGCGGTGTGTGTGAAACGGCAGTGCCTTTGACCACGACCCAAGGCAGGGCGTCGCGCGCGGCATCGGTTCACCTGGCGGCGCCTCGAAATCGAGGGTCAGATGCGGGCAGCGCGGAGGCTGCGGAGAGCCCGTTCACGTGCTCCGTGGTTGTAGCCTTCGCGGCGAGGACGGAAGGCGTAGTTTGTTTCCAGCTTCCTGAGACGGGCGTCGCCTGCAGCCCCGGGGAAGGGTCGGGTCACAGCACAGTGACATCCGTGGGCTCGCCCTGCCACCCGTGTCGCGGATCCTGCGCCCCTCGGCGCTGGCAAACGCCGGTCTCTTCTCTGTCCCTATCAGCTTAGTGTTTTTGTTTTGTTTTCAGATCCCGCAGGCAGGTGAGTTCCTGTGGCGTTTGTCTTTCCCTGACTTACTCAGCACGAGGCTCTCTAGGTCCCTCCCCGTCGTCTCAAAGAGTACGATTTCCTTTTTTATGGCTGAGTAACAGTCCACGGTGTGTACATGCCACGTTTTCTTCATCTGTGTGTCCATCGATGGGCGCCTTGGCTGTTGTATGCAACGCTGCAGCGACCCTGGGCCCGCAGGTATCTTCCTGGGAGGGGTTTTCGTTCCCCAGCTGTGGGATTGCGGGGTGACACGGGAGTCCTGCTTCTAACACTGGGAGGAAGCTGGGCCCTGCTTTCCACGGGGGCTGCACCGGCCTGCGTCCCCCCCCCCCCACGGGGCACAGGGCGCCCTTTTCCCTGCGTCCTCGGCGGCAGCGCCGGTGGTGTCCTGTCCTTTTGGCGACGGCCGTCCTGAGGGGCGCGAGGCGACTTCTCGCTGTGGGTTTCTGTGCGCTGTCCTGACGCTGAGTGTTGGGAGCGTCTTTCACGCACCCGTTGGCCATCGGGGCGTTTTCTTTGGGGAAATGTCTGTTGAGACCCTCTCTCCGTTTTTTAATTGGATTGTCTGTTTTTTCGCTGTTGAATTGTATGAGTTCTTAGCAGATACACAGTTTGCAAATGTTGTCTTATATTGGATGGGTCGCTTTTTCATCTTGTCGATGGTTCCTCTGCCGCGTAGAGGCTTTCAGTTTCATGTGGTCCCACTGGCTTATTTTTCCTTCTGTTGCTTATGCCTTAGGAGTCAAGTCCAAAAAATTATTGTCAAGACCAACATCAAGGAGCTTTTCTGTGTGTTTTCTCCTAGTTTTATGGTGTCAGGTATGTTTCTCATGTTTCTTGGAATAGTTCAGGCCGTGATATTTTTTCCTTCTCCACCTTTAAAACAGAGGGTTGCGGTTTTACTTGCTGAAATGAAAAGCCAAGTGGCAACTATAGTTAATAAGCATTTGCTTAACATAAGACAAGGAGACCAGTTTGTCGGCAGGATGGAATATGGGGAGAGCGAGCACAGCCCCCGCCGCCGCGGCTCCCTTCCCGGGGAAGCGCCCGGCTGGGGCGTCCGGCCACCGGGGTGTCACTGGGGCCTGGCTGCTGCTGCCCGGCCGGCGTCAGGCCCCAGGGCGGCCACCACAGATGCCAGTGACCCCACGTACCTGCCTGTCCCCTGCCAGCCATTGACAGGCCGCCACGGGGTCCTGGTGCCGCCGGATGCGCCCCCGTCTGCCCTCCTGCGTTGGGATGGGGCCCTTCCGCGTGGCGCTGGGCTTTCCGGTTTCTGTAGCGCCGCCCTTGGCGCCGACACCAGCGCTCGCCCGGAGCGGGCGGTGACCGTGCCGCCGGGAACAGATGACAGTCTGCTTTGCAAACCCTTTCTCAGCCCCTGAACAAAGGGGCCCGAAACCTTACCCTTGCCGGCGCGGCCGGGACGCCCCTTCCCGGGAAGCTGTTTCTGTTGGAAGTGGGACAGCGGGGAGCCCGGCGGCGGCCTGGGGACGTGTCATTTGGGGGCGTCATAATCTTGAAAGCGTCGGGTGTAGGAGGGCGTAGATAATTAGTGTGGTGTGTCCTCCCGTTATTGACGAGAGCCCCGCAGAGCCCTCTGCGGGGACCCGGAGCTCGGAGCCCCACTCACGGCGTGGGGGTGGGGAGGCTCTGGCCCTGAGGCCTGAGGCCTGAGCGGGACGCAGGAGCCCCGGCTCGCGCTCTCACAGCGCGGTGACGTGGGGCGAGCGCCGCGGTCAGGGCGCGCCGGGCAGTGGCGGGGACGGCGGCCTGGTGCCTGCCTCCCTCCTCCTCGCCATCTGGCTGCTGTCCGGACCCGGGGCCCCAGGACGCCGGAGACCCCGGCCTCTGTGTGTCTGTGGAAGGGAAACGAGCGCGAGGGGACACACACACAGCTGGGCGCCCGGCTGTTCCCCTGGGCCGAGCCGTGGGTGCGCCTCAGGAGCGGCTTGTTTGCTTTTGGAAGAAGACAGGCTCAGCTGGGCCGGTGGCCCGTCCGAACGCGCGTGGCTTGCAGGGACGGACAGACGGCAGTCAGTCCCCTGTGACGGCCTGTGACGCAGCTCCTCGGGGGGGGGGGGGGGGGCTGACTTTGCGGCCACTCTCCCTGGATAAGAAGTGAATTTTTTTTTTTTTTGAAATGTGCTCTATTTCATGTTGAAAAGTGTATCGCTGGTTCTGGAGGATGTGCGTTGGGCCAGAGCTCGGGAGCCAGTGAAGGGACCCTGGGGGGCCCCGTCCTCGGGGGGAGTTCAGCGGCTCCCTCCCACTCAGTCGGCGGACACCGGGGCGCTGGGGGCAGCCGGCGGACACTGGCGCGGAGTCAGGGAGGCCCTCGGCAGGCCGCGGCTCGGAGCCGGCAGGGATGATGCCGGGGTGGGGAAGGGTGCCCGTGGGCACGGGCTCCTCCTGCGTCGTGTCAGGTCCCCTCCCTCAACGCGGTGGCCCCGCGACCCAGCACAGCGTTCTGCCGCCTCCTCACGGCCCGTCCTCTGCGGGCCCCCGCCAGCGGAGCTCGTCCGTCTGGAGAACGCCTGCCTGTTCCCTTGTACTGGGCACAGCTTGGCCGCTCGGAGGTCCTCAGAGCCTGATGGCAGCTCCCTCTGTCCCCTCCCTGCTCCCTGCTTCTGCAGACGTGTGTCCAGCCTCCTGTCTCAGAAGGCTGCGGGGTCACTCAGGAGACGGGCAGGACTGGAGTCCTGGGGGCGCTCGGGGGACACCCCCCTGCAGTGGGCCCTGGGGCGGCTGCGCGCTGCACTCGTGAGGGCGCCGGGTCGCTGCTCCAGCTCCGTTATCGCTGCCGGGGTTGGAGTGGGGGAGGGTCGGGCGTGGACTCCAGCCCCGCGTGCCCCCTTCGGGCCGATCACGTGTCCTCCTTTTAATTGTAACATTTGTCACTGAGAGGGAGATGGTGACCAGCCTGCAGACCAGGGTGACGAGCCCCCAACCCGTCTGCCCCGGGCACGGCGCATGCTGGGGAATACGTGCTGTGCGGACGGGCCGTTTGCCTTTGAACAGTTTGCGCCTGCAGCGGCCAGGCTGGGCCTTCCCAGGGCCCCCGTCCCAGGAGCCCTGGGTGGCAGCGAGGAGAGGGCAGCTGAGCCGTCCGGCCTGCGAGGGGCCCTCGGTTGGGCTCGGACGCTCAGCGGGCCTCCATTCCAGCCGCCTGTCCGTCATCCTCCAGACCCAGCGCTACAGGGAGGGCCGGGGGTCTCGCCGCGGGCTCTCGGTGGCTGGCCGCCGGCGCCCGTGCCCCCGGAGCCGCGGCAGTGGGACGGGACTCGGCGTGTCTGCACGTGCGTGTGTCTCAGTGGTGGATGTGTGTGTGTGAGAGACAGAGGGAGAGAGAGACAAGCTGGTGACACAGGACACCCACAAGGAAAAGTTCTGGACAAAGTTCAGGGTATTTTTTCATGTTGACGCTTGGGAGGAAAGCGAGTGTCGGTGCGTCGCCCCTTTCGCCGGGGACCGCGCGTCGAGCGGGCTGTGGTGCGGGACACTACTTATGTCCTGTGTGAGCAGCATTTTCCTTTTAGTGACTCTTTCAGAAAGTTGGCCAACTGTTGCTTAAACCTCAGCTAATTATTTTTCCATTTATAATTCTATTCTGAAGCCCATTAGGAGGCTATCATTACTGAATTACGTGCTGTTCTCATCTCCATTTTCGTGAACCGGTGCTGTGCCATTAGCTCCGTTTACTCCTCTGTTGCAGGCGGAGGTTCAGTGCTGTGCCTCGTTAAAGGGATAAAATGAAAACCGCGCGTTGAACATTGTTTCTCAGGAGGCTGTGCAGGGGTTGGCGGGCATTCAGCAGGCATTTAAACATGGAAAGAGAAAATTCAGAATGTCAGACTAAGAAGTACAGTAACCCTAAGAAAATAGGAATTTAAAGGGGCTGTTAAAACAAGACACAGAGCCCTGACCGGTGTGGCCCAGTGGGTGGGGGTTTGTCCCCAGCCAGTGTGCGAAGGAGAGGCAGCCGACCGGTGTGGCTCTACTCCTCTCCTCCCTCCCTTCTCCTCGCTCTAAAAATAAATGTACTTTAAAACAAACAAACCGACAGGCCGGGACCTCGGTGGGGAGCGCGGGCCCAGCGCCGGCTGAGCCGGGCTTCTCCGTCGTCTTTAAAACTGCGGGTGTTTGTGTGTGTGGCGGGGGGTGGGGGCGGGGGGGCGGGTGTTCAGTGGTAGGTTTTGGAAGATTTCTCTCATTTACACCATGAAATTGGCTATCGTTGAAGTTTGTGTTAACATCCTTTTCTGGTCTTGGTTTTTTTTTTTGTTTGTTTGTTTGTTTTTTTTAGAGAGGGGAAGGGAGGGAGAGAGAGGAGAGGAACATTGATCAGTCGCCTCTTGCACATGCCCCAACCAGGACCAAACCCGCAACCCAGGCATTTGTGCCCTGACTGGGAATCGAACCGCAACCTTTGCTTTGCGGGACGACGCCCAGCCCGCTGAGCGACACCGGCCAGGGCGAAATCACACTCTCTTTGAACAGACTCCGTGCTTCCGGGAGCGCGTGCTGCTTCCAGAGCCGGCGGGCTGGCCGGGCCGGTTTCCTGCGGGAGAGTTTGGGGCACCTGAGGGCTAGAGCCTCCCCAGAGGCCACGTCAGGGCTGGGAGCCCGGCTGCCAGGCTGGCTCCACCGCTGTGCGCAGCGGGGTTCCCGGGGCCTCTGGGGAGGGCCTCGGGGGTCCTGTCAGGACCGTTGCTTTGCTTTCTGGTGTTGATATTAGGATAGGTCTTTTAAAAAATAAACTGTATATGTGGTTTAAATAAAACTGCTTGAAGTAATTCCTTCTCTGTTTTTTGTCAACTGGTTGCATCTTAGTGTTTGTTGAAAAAGTGCTGAAGAGACTTTTCCCTTGTGATCCACACGGCCAGGAAAAGAAGGCACCACCGCCCGCGGCCCCCGAAACCCCTCCTGAGAAAGCGAGGTGCAGACGCGTCCCCCCAGCAGCAGGTAAGACCGTGGGTAACGGGAGTGAGGGCCTCACAGCGGGTCCCGTCACCTCTGCGTGCCCGCAGCCCGGCCGGGCAAAGCAGGGCGCCTGGGCCAGCCCTGGGGGGCAGCGTGGCTGCTGTCGGCTGTGCCCGTATTTTCCAGAGGACATGCCTGTCCGGGGCTGACGTGTCCCCAGAGTCTGGCTGTCAGAGGCCTGGCCCCGAGCCTCTGTGGGAGCCTGTGTTGAGAGGCGGGGCCTGCAGAGGAGGTGGAAGGTTAAGGGGCATCAGGTGGGTCCTCATCCAGCAGGAGTGATGTCCCTGTAAGAAGGGGGCTCGCGGCACGGACAGACACACACACAGTGGGCCGGCCCCGGGAGCACACGCGGAGGTCGCCACCGTCTGGCCGTTCGGGTGGCGGGGGCCGGCGGGGGCGGCAGTCCATCCCAGAAGCAGCCCGTTCCCGAGGTGCCGGCTGTTCTCGGAATTTTACTGAACCCTCATTCCTGACCGTTTTGGACATTTTGTGTTTAGGGTGAGTTTGCATTTTCTTCTCTCTTCCAACTCAGCAGCTTCAGTCAACCCCACGGCTGGTGGGTGAGGAGATGGTGGGACATTGAGCCTTCTGCACGATGGTCCTCGCTCGGCCCGAGGCCTGTGACCACAGGCTCCAGGCCAGGCCCCTCCTGGAGGATAAGGAGCCGATCGCCATCCTTCCGTGAGGACACAGGCAGTCCCTCTGTCCCGCGCGGTCTCTTGCCTGCAGTGGTGGACTTTCCACCTTTTCCGTCGCTGTTTAAAAGTGAACGCTTGCTTCTCCTCCTGAGCGTGGCTGCGGGGCCGCGCTTGGCACCGCCGCCCCCGGGCACACGGTGAGCTCTGTCCATGCGCCGGTGGTTAGCGGGGAGTGTCGGGTCAGGGTTGGAAGATGTTCCTTTTTAAATGACCGAGTCCATTCTGGGTCTTACAAACCACTGATGTTTCTTTAAGCTTGTCCCTGGTCCCCTGGGTGTTCTTCAGCAGGCCTTTGTAGGGCACTGTGTTTTCTGTGAAGATACGGAGTTAAAAATCAAAGCGCTGACGTGATGTTGGTTTCAGGGTGGGCTCGCAAGATTCAGAGTGGGTGGGACTGGGGAGACGCCGGGCGTGAGGGAGCGAGGGGCACCTCATGCTCTGTGTCCGGGGCTGGGGGCGCCCGCGGGCTTCCCTGCCAGCCTGGGTTGTGGCCACAGTGAGGGACTGTGTGACCGGCCGGAGCCGCGTGCTCTTGGGCAAAAGGCTTGCAGTTGGTTTTGCAGAGCGGTTGGAACGTGGTACAGAAGGAGTGCCATTGTCCAGCGAGCGGTCCCAGCGGCAAGGTGAGAAGAGTACAGGCGCCTGGGAAGAAGTTGGGGGGCACTGCAGCCCCAGGATGGGGGGCGATGCCCCAGGAGGCCAGGCGCAGGGCGCGGCCGCTGGCCGCTTCCTCAGCGTTCGGTCCCGGACGCAGCGTCGGACTCCACACTGGTCTGCAGGCCGTGGGCCCCGGCGGTGTAGGCCCCGCGCACGCGCAGCTGGGACCAGACGGAGTTGAGCGCGGAGGCTGAGGGACGCGTACCACGGCAGCGCGGCGTCGCAGCTCCCGCCCCTCGGCCCAGAGGGCTGCCGGGAGCCTGTTCCTGTGTGTCCCGCGTCCTTCCTGAAGTGCCCTGCTTCTGAGAGGTGCCTGTGTGTCGCGTGTCGTTGGGACCCTGGTCAGAAGTCACCCGGCTGCTGCACCCAGACCCTGAGGGCTGCTAGGGAACTGCGAGGTGGTGACAATTACTGGTTCAGGCGTGGGGAACGTGACTGGGACGGCCACGTGGGACGGCCCCCCAGCACCGGGCTCCAGTTTCCGTGTGGCCCCGCAGCCCCACTCCCAGGCGTCCGGTCGCGGAGACACGAGTCGACAGAACTTCCGCACCCGTGCTCCCGGCAGCGTCTCGTGTAGCGGACAGAAGATGAGAACCAGCCACATGTCCGTGCGGACACGCAGACAACGGCCCGGGCCTGGCCCGTGCGCTGGGGCGCGGAGGCGTGTTGCTGCGTGCAACGACCGTAGTCGGCGGCGAGGACTGGACCTTGTGGCTGCGTCTGTGTCGATGCCGGTACCGTCTGCGCAGCTCTGCGAACACACACAGCGGCCGTGGGTCGCCCACTTTCCAGGTGCAAGCTCATGCGCGGGACTTACATCTCAGTAAAGGAGTTAAAAGAGAAAAACCATTTGGCCGCGGACACTGCTGGACTCTCGTTCTCGCCCACTGACCTGTGCGTCCTTCGGCCCCATCGTTCTGACGCAGCGTCAGACGCAATTCTGACCTCGGGAGCGCGAGCCTCCCCACTCGGTTCTTTTTCCAGGCTGCTCTGGCCCTCAGGGCCCCGTGCCATGGCGTGGGAGTTCTAAGGCCAGGCTGTGCATTTCCGCAGGAACGGATGGATGAGTGAGGGAGGCGGGTGGCGTTCTGGCATGGCTTGCGTTGAACCTGCGGGTCACCCAGGAGCGTTGCCGTCCTAGCGGCCCTGAGTTGTCCCGTCCGTGAGGTGAGGACATCTTTCATTTGTCATGTGCAGTTTCTTTCAATAGCGTGTTACGGTTTTGAGGCTATGAGTTTTACACTTATAAGTATTTTATTCTGTTAAGAGCTGCTGGAATGGCATTGCTTTTGTGTGTGTGCTGTGTTTCCAGGGTGCTTGCCACTGGTGTGCGGAAGCGCAAGGAGACCCTTTGACTGTGGAGAAGGCAGTGGCTTCTGAAACACGGAATAAGGATTTCTTTTATTGGCCTGTGTCCTGCAACTTGGCTCCCATTAGCTCTAAAGGTTTTTTGTGGATCTTCCAGGGTTTCCCATGTATGAGATCCTGCCCGTGAGTAGCACAGGTGTTTTGCTCCTTCCTGTCTGATCAGGGTGCCCTTCTGCCTCGTTTTCCTTGACGAACAGCCCCAGCTGGAGCCCCCAGTGTGATGGGGGCGCCTGGTCTCGTTGCTCGTTGTAGGGGGAGCGTCCGGCCTTGCCCACTGAACGCAGAGCCGGCTCTGGGCTGTCGTGCATGCCCCTCCTCACGCTGAGCTTCCTTTGGCTTGTGTTTTTCTTCATGGAGGAGCGACATGCCTGGGAAATTTGAAGGAAAAACATTGTAACTTATTTGCAGCTGAAAAACAGATACCTGAGGTAGAAGCAAAGCAAGGAGATCACAACTGAATAGACAGTAGAAACCGTGGGAAGCCGTGGTGCCCGTGGCTGCTGCTGCTCGGCCACCGGAGCCGGAACAGGTGCGCCTTGGGAAGGTGGGGCTCGCGCGAGGCCCACTGAGGGAGGGGGCCGTCACAGCCTCAGGGCTCGGCGTGCGGCTCCCTAGTAGGTGACGCTGTTTTCCCAGCGGATGGCAGGGCGAGCGTCTGCTCGCGCGAGACTCGTCACTGCTGCCCTTCCGCGCTGGCCCTGAGCTTGTCCTGGGAGCCGAGGGAAGAGGACATCTCCAAGTTCTGCGTAGCTTTCTTGCTAAGGAAAATTAATCTGATTAGAAGCTTCCAAACATATTGTGTGAACAATGATCAAATGCTGATGCTCCCTCACAGGGGAGGTCTGTGTGGGGCCTGTCTCCCCCCCACCCCGCCACTGCAGCAGGGAGGCTATAATTAGCCACCTGCGGGAGATCAGACTGAGTGGAGAACTAGACCACGTGCACCTTAGCTTCAAAAAGGGAACTACGTTCAGTTTTCCAGTTGCGGCTCACCTTCAGTGTTCCGCATCAGTTCCAGTTGTACAGCATCGCGGTCAGACAGCCACACACTCCGTGAAGTGCCCCTCGAGAGTCCCCGCGCCCGCGTGACACTGCCTGTAGGCATCACAGCCTCGCTGGCGAGACCCCGTGCGGCACGGACACCCCCGTGACTGTGTTGTGACAAAGGTGAACTGTATCGATGGCAGAGGAACTTGAAAACAGTTCAAGGTTTTTACATTCAAATGTCTTGGAACCAAATGTCTGTACAGGAGTTGCTGATGTCGTTCAGTCCTTGTTTTTTTAAGACCTCGTTTTCCTGTGAAAGACTGACCAGGGTGTCCACCGGGGCTGGCCACGTGCAAGGCTTGCTTTGCCGTGTTGAACGAACCTGAAGCCTGAAGGGGCGTCCTGCGCGGCTCCCAGGAGCGGCCGAGTGCGCGAGTGCGTGGCGGCCCCGCACCGCAGTCTCAGCAGCTGCTGCTCACGTGAACATTTAGACTCGGCCACCGTGTGCAAACTTCAGGAAGGTGGTAAAGTTATTATTTGCCAATTACATGGATGATTATGTAGCCATTAAAAGACCGTGGCCCTGGCTGGGTGGCTCAGTTGGTCGGAGCGTCGTCCTGGAGACTGAAAAGTCGCTGCGAGATCCTCAGACACAGCGCAAACGCGGGGCAGCGGATCTGCGTTCCTCTCGCACATCGACGTTCCCCTGTCTCCCTTCCTCTCTCCCTAAAATTAATAAACACATCCTCGGGTGAAAATTAAAAAAAGATTAGGTTTAAGTGTGTCTTAATATTTTATGAAAAATTCACATTTGAATGCTATTACATGTGTAATACACAAATGTGTAATATATAAACATTTTATATTAAACTGTGAGCAGGATCCACTCAGACACATGCGAGCGCAGCGCCCTTAGGCTGCGGGGAGGGGAAGGCCCAGGACCCGCTGGCCGCACGCCGGGCGGGTGCGCCCGCGGAGTGTTTTGATTTTCTGCCGCTTGCTCACTGATTAGCTGTGTTCTCATTCTCTGTTGTAACAGCCTGGCCATCTGCGCGCAGAGTCATTGATATGAATCAACCTCCGCGACCTTGCCCCGTCCTGCCCGGTGCCTGCGGCGCAGATGGGGCCCCATGACCCGGCGCTGACCGCTCCCTGTTGCGCCCCTTTCCTCCGCAGGTGCCGGCACCGAGGTCCTGCCCGGCCGGCGGCTCTACACCGTGGCCCTGCCGCCCGAGGGCTACGTCCCTGCGCCCGCCCCCCGGCCCCCTGGCGGGGACACAGGCTCTGAGAGCGGCTCCAGCAGCAGCGAGGACGCGGGAGGTAGGAAAGCCCGGTTCGGTGCTGTGCGTGCCCCTTGCCGACCACAGCTGGGGCCGAGCGGCCAGCCTCACGTGGGCAGGTGGCCTGCGACCCATCGAATGATGCGGGGGGCGGGGGGGAGGGATGTGATGTCGGCTGCACAGGGGGCTGGGGCTAAAGGCGCCCAGTGTCAGCAGCACTTGTCTTGGCTTAGGAGAACCTTTCCCTTGGTTTTCTAATGTTTTCAAAATTTCTGGAATGGTGTATCAATTTTGTAATCGTGGAAGTAACTTACTTTGTGTCTCTTTCGCAGAAAAATGAAATCATTGTATTTGCTTTCTGTCCGGTGCTTCGGTCACATGTTAAGTTTCTACCTTGAAAAGCCAGATGGTAGTAAATTTGCTTTAATTCATTATTTTAAAATTTCCTGTAGAGGAATATGAATTTTCAAGTAAAAATTAACCCAGATGATTTTTTACCAAGTATGAACTGAAAGACTCTATATTCTAAACCTTCATTAATTTGAGTATTAAGAAAATGTGGTTTTCTAGCACATTGATCTTTCCGAGTTCCTAATTAAAGGGTCAGAAACTATAAAACTGAAAATGGCATAGTATGGAGCGATGCGGGAAATCTCGAGAACATGATTACCAGATAAATAGATGATATGACACAAGATTGAACTGACTTTGCAAGGGCCGGTCACAGGGGTGACACGCTCCCCGGCGCTCACACAGGCAGCGGAACGTGCCAGGCGCACCCCGGCGCCGCACCCGGGGCGGGCCTGCGGGGGCCGCCGCTGAGAGGATGTCCGTCTCTCCGTCCGTCCCGAGGCCATGTGCCACGTCCGGGCCTGCTCTGTGGGGACCGCGCTACAGGGCCGTCCTCGTGGGAAGTGGGACGAGGCCAGGGCCAGCGGACAAAGGTCTCCCTTATGGACAGCGGAGCTGTCCTGTCCCTGGGCCCGGTCTCGCCTCCCCCAGGAGGGCGGCGGGGAGGGGCCTGGTGTGTGGCAGAGCAGGGAGATTTCTCTAAAAAGCAGCGAAAAGGGAATTGAATAATTAGGATCCATTCCATTTAAATTGCCATGGTAACCTGGCAGAGTTAGGGGTAACTTTTATTTATAACTTTGACTATACAGCATTATTACAAGTTACATTTTTATAAGCTGTTAGTTAAACAAAACCTTTCCATTAATGCACTTCTTCCTCGGTTGCCACGCCGGTGGGAGCAGCCGGGCTGGGAGCCTTGGGCGCAGCGCCTTCCCTCCCAGGGGCCCTGCTCGGGGAGGGGTGGTGGCGCATGGGGGGGGGGGGGGGTTCGGGTTTGGGTTCGGGTTCAGGTTCGGGTTCGGGTTAGGGTTAGTGCAGCAGCAGGTGGCTGCTCTGCCTCCCAAGCTCCAGGCAGCACACCCGGGCCAGCGCCTCAGCCCGGCGCTCTCTGGATGGCGCTGAGGGGCCACACACGCGGGCGGGGCCCGCGCAGGCTTGCGGTGGTTTGGTGGTTCGTGGGGACAGCAATGCCACGATTAATACACGGCCCTGCAGGCCTCAAGCCTGAGCTTCACGTACTCACCGCTGTGGGCCCAGGCTTGCCCAGCCTGCTCTCGGTGTCGCTTGGACTTAAAAGCTACATTGTGTCCTGGCACTGAAGCGAAGTGCTGGGGCCCCGGCGGCCGTGTCCGGCTGTCGCAGCCCTGCCCCTCGCGCCCTCGGGACGTCACTGCGCGACGTCATCAGGAGAGAGGGGCCCGTTTTTTGAAGGCAGAGCCCCCTCGCTCCACGCTTGGCCACTGCTGCCAGGCTCTTCGTGACAGGGCCCTGCCCCGGCGCCAGCCGCCTGCTCCCACGCAGGGGTCTTGGTCTGCGCTTCCCCTTCGAGGCCAAGCCGAGCCCACTGTCCCTCCTCCCTCCCAGGCGCGGCTCCCCGCCGGCCGCCCGATGCCTGGACGGCCGTGCTTCTGTTGACAGACCCTCATCTCGGGCGTGTGTCTGTGAGGCTGCAGGTTTCACTTTGCTAAATGCACATCGTTGGTGTGTGTCCGTTTGGAATGTCCTGAATTTTAGGGAGACGGTACCAGGGGTGTCCAGCCTTTGGGCGTCTCTGGGCCACACTGGAAGAAGAAGGGTTGTCTTGGGCCACACAGTAAATACCTTGAGACATGTAATCACAAAGAAATGTCATCATGTTTTAAGTAGATCTACAATTTTGTGTTGGGCCGCGATCGCCGCCATCCAGGGCCACAAGTGGCCTGTGGCTACGGGTTGGACACCCAGGCTGTTAAAATAACCTGAAGCATCTGATGTTATTTTAATTCCTGGCCTCATACACATGGTCTAGGTCAAGGTTAAACGCAAGCGACTCCCTTATATTCAGCCCCTGAAGCTCGTAGGCACTGAGGCTGGGCATCTCGTGCCTTTGCAGCCTCAGCCTTGAATCCAGAAGAAAACCGTCATCCCTTTAAGACACTCCACTCGCCTCCGGGGATGTGGCACGGCCGCGAGGGCTGGGACGGGCTGGAGACCGAGGCTATTCTGGTGTCTCCACTCCTGCGTCTCATTAGGACGTGGGTGCCAAACAGCGGCGGAGAGGATTTTGACAAACGGTGGTTATTTTTAAAATTGGCATGTGTGAAAGGAAAGGTATGTTTGGGGATGGCAGCTTCTCAGATTATAAATAGTCCTCCGATCCCCCAGCCTAAACGTTCTGCAGCTTTTCTCACGCTCGAGGGGCTGAAGCCAGTGGTGGGCCGGGGGCACCGCCCGTGCCCTGGGCCCAGCCGCGGACAGGGAGTCATGGAGGGTGAGCACGCGGGCCTTTCGCCCGGGAAGAGCTGTGTGTCTGAGGGCCAGGGGCCTTTCAAGAACAGGAAGGGGTAAGGAACTGAAGATTTCAGAGGGGTGTCCACGAAGCTCTGCGCTTTCCTCTGGGCCGGCCGGGCTGAGCCGCGCGGGGCTCACGTGCTTCACTCCGGGCCACGGAGCGGCGGCCACCAAGCTGCTGCACCCCACCAGGAGCGGTCCGCCTGCGAGCCGTCATGTTGGTGATGTCCCTCTCTCAGCGCCGGCCTGAGTCTAACGACGGGACTCGGAGGCCCCAGGCGGGGCCTCGATGGCTGGCATGGGAGTGGGGACACCCAGACGTCCCCTTTGCGTCAAGGGTGGCAGCTGCGCCCTGCCACCACGGGTCAGGCCAAGTGACAGGTGTGGGGGACAGGGCGCCAGCCTCGTCACAGCACAGCGGCTGCGGCCAGCTCAGCTCCAGGCTGTGGGCTCGAGGGGCCAGGCTCGGGGGAGCGGAGACCCCCGCTCGCTGCCGAGCCTGCGCGTCTCACCCAGGCTGCAGGTGAGGGAGGCGGCGCCGCCTCCGCGCAGGGGACGAGGCTGGCACTCAGAGCGGCCGCATCTGCTGGTGTCACAGCCGCCTGTCCATGGGGCGGGGGGGCAGCCACAGTAATGAAATTTTACTCCCAAAGAATCTGCAGCAAGTTCTGTGTCCTCAAAACCACACTGTCCGCCATGATGGTCGCACTGTCTGTCTTGTCAGCCGATGGTCGATAGTCGTTAGCGCCCGCTCATCACCGACAGGAGTCCCCCCCTGGGGTACGGGCGGAAGGAAGCTTTATTCAGTGCAGGCAGCTCAGCAGGGATGCAGCCCGGCGGGAGGGCTTCTGCCAGGGAGACGCACCCTTCCGGGCGGAGAGCGGCTCCCGCGGGTTCCTCTGGACAGAAGTCCCCGCCCCGGCCCCTGATTGGTTCACCCTCATGCAAATGAGGGCTCCAAATCCTTGCAGTTTGATTGGCCCAGAAGGCCACTGTCCTGCTTGGGCGGGATGGGGCCACTCTGATTGGCCAAAGCTGCACCGCTCTGATTGGATGGGGAAAACCTCAGTCCTACTGGTTGAAACAGGATCCCGGGAGCTGCCCCCCAAGGGCTGGGTCAGCGGGTGGGCGCCTAGGGCGGGGGCTCCCGGAGGGCGGCCAGTGTGAGAGGCCCCGGGGCAGGGGAGGCTGCTGGGCTCTGCTTGTTTTTGACTTTGGTTTTGTGGTTTTTTTGTTTCTGTTTTTCTTAGTTTGAGCCCAGGCAGCCACCAGGAGCCCTTCTAAGTAGGTCTGTCTGTACATGTCTTTTTTTTTTTTAAGAAGCAGCAAGCTGTAAATTTCATTGTGAGTCTCAGATCCTTGGTTGTGTAATCACTTGAGATGCAGTGAGGATCACTATATTCCTTTTTAAATATTTGAAATACCTTTTCTACTAAAATTATAAGATCCAAAAGGAAAATTGCATTTATGTTAATATGTTTGTCATGGTTCCATTATACAGAAAACTGTTGTATTTGCATTTCTATTATTATAGATCAGGATCTTCGTGATCAACCAAAGAGAAGAAGAATTAGAAAGCACAAATCAAAGAAAAAGTTAAAAAATCTCAACAGCGTTCACGGAGAACAAGCAGAACTAAGGAAACAGACGCTCTTAGCAGAAGAGTTGCAGCCAGAGCACACGGACGGCCCCCCAATTAGCAAAAACAAGAAGAGGAAACTGAAAAAGAAACAGCAAATGAGAAGGAAGCGGGCAGCCGGCCTACTGCCGAGGGCCACCGGCGTCAGCTTCCTGTACGCGCCCAGCGAGGGCGGCTGCGAGCACAGCGACGGCAGCGAGGGCGCCGGGGCCCGAGAGGACGCGGGGGACGCGGGGGACGCGGGGGACGCGGGGGACGGGGAAGCCGACGCGGGCGCCCAGGACGAGGCGGACGGCATCCTCGACTTTCTGAAGTCCACGCAGGAAATGTACTTCTATGACGGTATGCTTTCTGCTGTTTCTCTTTTGAACACTGGCATCTAGTTCTTTGGCAAAAGAAGCAAATGCAATATAACATTTAAATGTTTAAACTACAAAACATTAAAATATTCATTATTCAACGTAAACCGTTAGTTTTAAGGCAGAAATCGGTGTTCAGTGTCTTCTCACCAGGCTCTGACCGGCACCAGCTCAGGGCGCCCCCGCACTCCCCATCCATCGCCCCCTGGACTGTGGAGAAGTTGGGGCCGCCCGTGTTTCTAAGGAAAAGGTGGATGCTAACCGGGGCCTGTGCCGGCCCGTCCACGCTCATCCGCTGCCCCCATAGGCCGCGCGACAGGACGGCGCTGATGTAGAGCGTCGGCGGCCTCCGAGCGGGGGCGGGGTGGGGGGGGGAGCAGATCCACCTGCGCGGCGCTTCACTTGCAGCCGAGGGTCAGGAGCTCAGCGCCCAGGGCACCGGTGATCCACCGCCTGCCGGTGTCCTTGCTGCCGAGAGGGGAGCCCCGTCCATAGAGCCCTGTGCCCCTGTCCTGTGTGTCCGCCGGGGGCATCCTGCCACGTGGGCAGACACCGGCTTTCCGTCCTTCAAGAGCAGAGCTGAGTTCCGATTGCCTCCCGCGGAGGCTTCTTGGGTCCCACACAGCGCGTCCAAGCAGCGCCAGGCCGGCCCTCTGTCTCTCAGAACAAATATAAGCCGTGTCTGCACGGTCCTGTCTCTGCAGGTGCCTCCCTGGACCCGGGCCCAGCCTTCCTGGGGGCTGCCGAGGAGCTCTTCACGTGCCTGCGGGCTGGCAGCCTGTCCCCCTCAGACATGCGGGCCCTGGAGCACCTCAAGGCGCTGCTGCCCCTGCACGACCCCGAGAGGCTGCAGCACGCCCTGCAGGCGTTCGCTGAGCACTGCGCCATGCCGCCAGGTAGGTGCCGCCGGGTGCCTGGGCGTGAGCGGCACCCGCTGTGGAACAGGCCACGGCAGGTGTGCGGGGACGTGCGCGTCCGATGCTGCAGACTGGGCGCTGCCGCCTCTTAGGGCCAAATGTCCTGCGTTGGAAGGGAAATTCCCGGCGGCCTTGCCTCCCGGGACGTTTGAGAGCCGCGCTGCCCCGGGGCCGGCCCTTGATTGAGAACTCTGCCCCGCTTCCTGCCAGCCTGCTCCTCGCTGACGTTCATTTTGGCCTGCGTGTGGCTTTCTTGGGCTCAGACGTTATTAACTCGGCCCGTTGTGCTGTGACCCCGAGCTTGTGCGGCTCACCCCCGAGTGCGACGCAGCCGAGGGAGCCCGGCTGTCCTTCCCCCGCACCTGTCGAGTGGCGCTTGCTCCCCGGCGCGGAGGTCCCCTCAGCGCCGCCGCCTTCACGCGTGCGCTGCATCTTACTCAGCGTTCGGTTGTCTCAGACGGGCCTTCGGGCCCAGGCGTAGCGGCCACAGGCGAGCACTCACGGTTTTCCATTTCTGCTTTGTCTTGCTCTGCAGACCAGGCCAGCGTGGTCTCCACCCTCTTCCGTTACTGGGCCACGCACGTGCTTCCCGGGGGCAGCTGCTCTGGGGATCGGGGCGGCGGCCTGAGGACAGCGGGGGGCTCGGCCAGTCACCGCGAGGACGGCGCGCCCGGAACTGTCTCTGTGCCCCGCGCGGCGCCTGGACAGGACGCATCGGCCCTGTCAGCCATTCCCACGCCTGCCCGTGAGGACGAGGTTGGCTGAGACGTCGCATGACAAGTTGGGATAAAATGGCTTATCCCTTAAAAACTGCCTATGTCGTGAATTACTACCCAGTGATTCTGTTTTTCTAATTTCTGTAACAATCGAGAATGCACAGTCTATTACGCTGAGTAAACTGTATAGATTGAAGCTGTTCCACATTTTTATAAAGTTTGGAAACACCTTGTATCTGAAAGTCTGCTTTGAGGAGGCCTGGTGGGTGTCAGAGCTCTGGACGCAGTCCTTGGAATCCAGGTCTGTTCCCCCTTCCCTCCTGCCCTGGCGCGTCCAGGGACATGTGGCCGCCACAAGCCTGGCCCGGGGCGCTTGTGTGGAGGCAGCGGGGACCCGGCGGCAGGGGCGGCCGGTGCCGGCACCAGGCCCATGCACAGCGATGGTGCGGCGAGTGGGCACAAAGCTGGATTCCATTAAAAAGTGACAAACAGCGGGGAGAACCAAGCTCGAATGCAGTAACAATGAGGGCCAGAGCCAGAGCCGCGGGGGTGGCCGAGAGCTGGCCGTCCCGCCGGGGCGATGGGCGCGTGGCCCTCACGTTCCTGCGTCCCCTGTGTTCATTCTGCCACTTCGGGCAGAGACAGTGGAGCCGTGAGCGCAGGACTCCAGCCAGCACTGCCCTGAGGGCTACGCGGGTCCCCCACACCCTGCTCTGGCTCCGAGACCACTCGGGGCCGGAGGGGCCCTGCGAACCTCCCGGAAAGGCCTGTCAGCTTTGGGCCTGGAGACTCCGGGGTCTTCCTTCCCTTCCAGAGACTCCCGTGGGCGTGTCAAGGATGTAAGCCTGGGGCCCCCGGTCTGTCTGCAGTTGCAGGATGCGGGGGCGGAGGCGGTTTCTCCCCCATGCACCCTGGTGGTGTGGGCAGGAAGGGCCAGGCTGCCCCTCGCGCTGTGGGGTGGGGCGGACCAGGCGTCCCGGCCCCGGGCAGCTGTTAACCAACAGGGTTAAACGGGGGCTGTTTCCACCAACAGGGTCGGGTCAGCTGTGGGCTGTCCCCCTGCACAGCCGCCTCACAGAGGCGTCCCTGCCGCCGCCATGGGCTGCCCACCCAGGTCCTGGGCGTCTGGCACCCCAGCCCTCGGGCCTGCAGGTCGGCAGAGCTCGTTGGTGCCCTCGGACCGGCCACCTGCGCACAGGCGAGACGGCTGATGAGAGGCGGTGCTTCGCGGAAGCTGTCGCGGGAGACGCGGGAACTGGGACGCGCTCAGGGCAGGGGCCACACTGGGCCACGTCCTGTCACAGGCCCTGCTCGGCTTCTCTGACTGAGACGCTTGCCCCCGGGCACGGCCTCCTCTCCAGGGACGTCTCGGAGCCCCTGCTCCACGGAGACGCCCAGGCAGGACTCCCTGCTTCCCACCAGCGCGTGCCCCACCCAGACAGCCGCACCCGGCGCTGGCCTCGCGGGGCGCCCCCAAAGGGCGCTTTCTAAGTCCACACCCCTCCTCGTGCGTGCTCACCAGAGGTCAGATCATCGCTACGAGCTTTTGTGTTTTCATTTCATTCGGAATTTGCAACGTGAACGCGGCCTCACATAGTGAGTGGTTGCAGGTTGAGGATCCGGCGTGGAGAAACCGGGGGTGGCGGTGGTGGGGGGCTACACTCTCTGTGACAGCAGGAACCCGGGAAAGCTTCCCAGAGGCGGTGGCGTTTGGGACGGGCCTGGGGAGGCGAGGCGGCCGTCCTGGGGAGACGGCAGGAACACAAGCGTGGATGGTTCGATTACATTAGAACCCGGACAATCTTTGAGAGCCGGCCTTGTAGATGTGGAACAGAGACCTGCTAAGAGACGCTTTGGGGTGCAAGCTGTTAACCTTTTCCACGCTAATTAACGCTGGCAGAGTTACAAACAGATGTAAATGTAACTGCTTTGCATCAAGTTCCTCCAAGATTACTGCTTTTGGGAGTTTTTTTTTTTTTCATTTCTCATTTTGAAAACGCTGCCCTCTTAACACTATATTTAGCCACTAAGGGGCTTCTTAAACAGCTGTTTTCATGCATAAAGATTGTTTCTTGTGACATTAACTGCAAACAGGCCCAGGCCCCCCCCTCCGACCCCCCCCCGGATGGCCGAGGTCAAGGTGGCAGAGCAACACCGTGTGTTGCTGGGCAGGCGGCAGCGAGCTGGGGCCTCGGGACGCCTGGCCAGTCCAGGGCTGATGCCACAGGAGGGCGGCACCCCAGACCACAGGAGCCCCAGAGCTGGGCCCCTCCTGGCCGCGCCCCCCGGAGCTTCAGCTCCGCACGGGGACACAGCGGGACCTGTGACTTAGGTGCCTGGCGCCTTTCTCCTTAGATCACCAAGTCTTAATCCAAGCTCTTCTTTCCCTAAACCTCTGCTCTTGTCTTCAGCCACTTTTCACCAACCCTGGGCCTGGGCTTCAAAGCCTGAGGTCACTCAGGAACCGGAGAGGGGGAGGGGCCGTGACTAGGACCAGCCCCTCTGCCCCTCTGGACAAGGAAACAGGGCCTGAGCAGGCCCTGCGCCCTGGTTCTGCGTAGGGCCCCCTCGAACGCTGCCCTTCCGGCCCATTCGCATCTGTGCACAGAAAGAATTCGTCTGGGGAACCTCAGCATCAGAGATTTTAGTAATAACTGCACTTCCTCCAACTGGAAGCTTCGTCTCTCTCCCCTCCCCAGACCAAAACATCTCAACTCACTGAGGAAGGAAGGAAAAGGCTCAGGAAAGACCAGGCACAATGGCGTTGGTGCGGCCGGATGTCCGCCGAGCCCAGAAACGCTGCAGCGCCCACCACTGGCTCCGCTGGGCCCAGTGGCTTTGCTGTGCTCGGGATTTCTCGGGATTTTCTATGTCCTGCCACTTGCCTGCTGGATGCGTGTGAACTCTTCCTTATTGTTTTTCTAAGTAGCTTCCAATTTTGCCAGTTTGGGAGCAACCTGACTGGGGAACACAACGACTTTTTAAAAGGCAGAAGAAAGAGGGAACAGAAACATTCTTACCCATGAACAGATCCAGAAGGGGCTGCTCCCAAGGCAGCAAACGTCGCCGCTGTGGATGAGCTTCCTGCGGCCGCGAGGACACAGGCCCCAAACCTGGAGACTTAAACAGCGCAAATGATCTTCCGGCTCGGGAGTCGGGTCTGGAGTGGGTCCTGGGGCCCGATGTCGGGGTGCTGGCCGGGCCCTGCTGCAGGTGCGAGGGCTGAGCCTCTCCTGCCTGTTTGGGCACCCGGGCCCCTGTCCGCTTCTCTCGGTCCCGGCTGATCTCCCGGCCCCCTTCCCAGCTAAGAGGCCCCCCTTAACCCCGCGCAGTCTCTGTACCTTGAGCTCTGCGTTCACAAACAATGTCGCCTGCAGCCTTTCCCCATTTTGCCCATCACCCCACACGCTTGCTGGTTCTGGGGGTCAGGAGGTGGGCAGCTTCGGGGGGCCCCTGTGCATGCGGAAGAGGGGCTTATATTAGTGTTACTTTAGCGCCTTTTCTGTATTTTTCTCTAAATGAATGTATGTAATTTTTAGAATAAAAATGTCTTCCTTTCCTCAATGTTTGGAAGAACTTCCAAGAAGCTGAACGTGAACGTCTACATCACGTTTCGACCTACAGATGGCGCCCCTGCGGGTTCTTACGAAGGGCGCTCACCGTCCCTGCCGTCAGCGTCCTGGCGAAGGGCCTGCGTCTCCGGTCTCGCCTGGGGCCTTCCTCAGCTGGCCACCTCTCACCCCTGCGGGGGCACCTTGTCGCCGTGGACAGCTCGGCCAGCTCCCGTGGGCCTGCGGACCCCGCCCAACATCCTGGTGCACCCCCGTCTACTGTCGCTGGACGGCGGTGGCTTCCTCGGTCCCCGCTCTCAAGGACCGGGCGTGGGGCTGCAGCACCCTGCGGACCCGGAGGGTCCCGGCCGCGCGGCGCACACAGCGGAATCTGGCACAGACGTCCCCCTGCTGCCCCCGGTCCCCAGCTGCCCTCCGCCGCCTCCCACGGGACGCCGGCGGACAGGGCCGCGGCCCCCGCGTCCGCCCCCGAGCCCCTGGATGCCAGGCCTGCGAGTGTCCACTGAGGGGGCGGGCTGCGCCCCCAGAACGCCCCACGTGGGGGCTCTGACCGCCTAGAGCTGAAGCGTCTGAGAAGTGCGGATCGTGAAATCTCCGTGAGCAAAGCCGGTGCCCGGACGGACCCTGGCCCCACAGGCCGCTGCCCCCGCCCCCGCCCGGCCCCTCGGTGCCCGAGGACACATCCCCCTGTGTTACTGGAGTCCGCGGACGGGTCCGCGCTGCCTCTCGGGGTCCCGCTTGCTGCTGTGCGCACACGAAGATGTTGGGGTGGCCAAAATGCCTGCATTTTTTTTTCCATAAAATAAAAAACACATTTCTTTTTCGCCAATAACTTTATTGATGGGGCTATTTTGAGTGTGTCGGCTGTCTCCCGCTGTTGGCTTCCAGGGGGCAGAGGCCAGGGGCGCTGCTAAACACCTTCCCGTGCCCCACAACGAAGAGTTGTTTGGTCAAACTATCAATAGGTCCAAGAAGCTTCGCGAGCCACTTCTGACACATTCAATCAGTCCTAGCACCTTCTCCATACACTGCACAATTTTCTCGTGTTTCAGTTACGTTTTTACCATTCTTGAAATAATAAAGCATAATATGCCAAAAATGTCGTGTATTTTCTTCCGTCTTCCATATTAAAATGGCTGCACAAAAATTCACCAATTTTGGTAAGTTTTTTTTAAATGCATGCTGATATGACAACTGTCACAATACAATTGAACAAAATTGTTTCAATGAAATTAAAGACATCTAAGCGCTACTAGAGCCATCGTGCGGGGGAAGAACGGAAGGGACGTCTCGGCCAATGACTGTGATGGCCCCAGCGCTTCCTCCGGCGGAGGAAGGAATTAATTAACTCACTGACCTTCTGCTGACAAAGAGGATGCGGAGAAGCTGGAGGCAGAGGGGCCACCGGCCCGGAAAAGCGGGCGTCCTGGGTGGAGACTGGCAGGGGCTGCCCTCCCGGGAGGGCAGGCGGGGGTTCGCTTCGTCCTTCTGCTCAGGTTCCAGGACGGGAGGGCGAAGCGGTGCCAGCTCCTCATTCAGGGGCTAGTGGGGGCTGCGGGGGGGCTCTGGAGCTGCGCGGGGACCCAGGTTTCGGGCCCCGGAGGGCGGGGCAGGGGCTTCTGGACA